GCCGCGTGGTGCTTTTGTTGCCGGCGGCAGCCGAAACCAAAACACTTCTGGTTTTGCCAATTTGGTCAGTGTCATGTATTTTCTTTCCACAGACCCTCTCTTGTCTGCTACAGACTTTGCTTACAGGCCCTTACAGCATGATGCCCAATAATGTCACATCTTCACAAGTACATCTTATTATGCATCAGTTAAACCAGTGTTACACTCAACTGAGTTGGCAGCAGAATAACGTCCAAAGGTTTGTTGGCTGTATGAGTGCTGGAGTGTGGAATTTGAAATGCTTTAGTGAAGGAGAACGTGGTTATGTGAATAAAAAATTTCAGATAATGGTTAAATATGAGACTGTTGATCTGCTGGGTTGATTACAAGCTCTTGAAATTGTATACAGCATATTTGGTTGGTTTTTTTCACCACTGCTTGAACACCTTTGCATTGGCTCTTTTTGAGTATTCTTTTGTGAAGAGAACCAAAAGTTGTCATCTCTTCCAAAAATCTGTTGCAATAGCTTTATTTGGCTTTTTTGGTTTAGACTTGCTTTCCTTGAATGTGCTTTTATCTCTGTAGTCTTTGCTAGACTGCCTGACAAGATTCAGGTTTCTAATGGTTATGGAAAGATGGTGGAAAATCTTTTTGTCCTCTCTTAGTGTTGTCAGTCAGAATTTATGCTTACTTATGCTCCATTTGGGTGTCCTACTTTTACCTTTGGAGCAATGTTTTGAAAAAATTTTTTGAAAAAAGATGCAATAGTCACTTTAATTCATTGCATGAAAGTTCAAGCTCTTCATCTCTGTTTTGTATTTGGTAAGTGGTATATAGTTACTGGCCTCTTACATAATATTTTAAAGTAATTTTAGTGCCATGTGTGGAAATATTTTGTGTCTTCAGTTGTTTGTATTTAAGTTTCTGTTTTGGCCTGCTCATTTTTTCAGTGTCTGGTCAATATTTTGTTGTTCTTGTAAGGATGTTTAACTTCTGTAAACATGACCACTAGTACAGGGCGGTTGGTTTTAAAACTGTTCCTGTCTGTCACTCGGGATTAAATACAAGGTGTTTTTTTTTCCTTAAGGTTTTGGTTTTTACTAGCTAAATGGAGCAGTTCTTTACATCCGTTACATGGGGCAGATGAAACAATACAAATCTCAAATTACTTGAGTATAAATTTACAGCTTTGCCATAGTATTTTATTTTTTTCCCCAAGTGCTTATTTTTGCTTGTTTCCAAGGTTGAAACAAATGTTAAATGATCTTATGCGCCAGCAAGAACAACAACAGTGTCAAGAGAAGCCATCAAGAAAGGAGAGAGGCAGTAGTGCACCACCACCTCCATCTCCTGTTTTCTGTCCGTTCAGCTTTCCTCCACAACCTGTGAACCTGTTTAGTGTACCGGGATTTACTAATTTTTCTTCCTTTGCTCCAGGTGAGTATTACTACAGGTGTGAAAAGTAATGCAAATTTCAAAAATTTCTCTTCCCTTATTTAATTGAAATCTTAATGTGAAAATGCTGAAACTCGGTGACTTTTCCTTTATACTGAAATGGTCTTAAATGGTACTTGAAAGAGTCCATATTATCCATTTGTTAATGTTTATTGCTGAACAGTTGTAGATTTTTGACTTCAGTATGAAAACCAAGACTTTCTCAGTAAGAAGCTGGTTATAGTCAAAAATACCCACTCCATAAAGTTAACATTTTAAATGTTCTTTGTCCAACATGTGAAAAGCAATGTTTGAAGCTTTTACCATACCTTCAGCAATCATTTAATAAGTGTTCTTAAGGTGGCACTTGGTAATTAGTTTTCTTTTTCTTAGACCTTCCAGCATTCATTTTTGTTTGAAAGGCCTGTAAATGGAGCATGTTACTAATCTGTGTTCCCATCAGAGGTAGAGAGTAACTGTTGATTTGGACACAGTGTTCCTAATCTCATTACCAAATCTGCTTTTACCGTTGAATTTGAAGTGGGAAAAAATGTAGGTATTCACTATATGCTTAAAAGTTGTTAAAGCTGTCCTAATAATATATCTCAGCCTTTTCAGGAAATAGGCATAGACCTAGATTGTAGCTTTCAGATTCTGAAGGCTGTTTTCTGTTTAAGGATATTTTGAATTATACGGAACCTGCACAGAAGAATGCTTATGTTCAATTCGCCACTACTATAACGATTCTAAAGTTAAAATAAGTATTATGAATTTATGACCTCTTTGGCCTTATGAATGCTTGTACTGCTGGAATTTTCTTACCAGTTTGATGGTAATTGAAGTATTGATAAAATCTGCATGCAGACAGAACTCTTCCGTTTTTGGAACTGATGTAATTTTTACCTTCGCTGGTAGAAGCTCTTTATTGGGGTTTCTTGAAGAACCTTCATCTCTCCACTGATGGGATTGTAGCAGTATGTGTAGTATCCAGTAATGTTTGAAACCTGTATTTAAGATAAATTCCTATTATTGCAGTGCTTTCAGGACAAAAAAACAGCTTTTGCTTACTTCCCCACAATATTTTTGCTTCATAATTTTATATTACCACACAATATGTCTCAAATTTTATTTTTATCGTACAGATAAATGAGGTGGTACCTGCTGACTCTCTTGTTTGCTTTGTAGGCATTAACTATAACCCAGTGTTCCCTTCTGGTTTTGGAGATTTTGCACACAATGTTTCCCCACACAGCAGTGAGCAGCAGCAGCAGCAACATCCTCTAGATCATAATGCTTCTGGGAAAACTGAGTATATGGCATTCCCCAAACCTTTTGAAAGCAGTTCCTCTAATGGAGCAGAGAAACAAAGGTAATTAATGTCACAGTGCAACTCTTTGATAATTTTTCCTCCCTTTTCTGGAGCTTGTGGGAATTCATCATTCTTTTAGGGAATTTATTTTAATACATTTAGAAGATGAGCTTTACTTTGCAGTTTCCAGTTTATTTTTTTTACTTTTTTTAGTAAAGTGTTCTGCTTTTCTGTATATAAACTACTGTATCGTGTAATGAGTACTTTCAGATCAAATATAGTGTGGGAGTGGTTTTGTGATACATTTTGTACATAGAGAAAGGTTTCATTTCCATGTTCTTTGAAACTGAGCTGTTTGAATAACTAGGGGATAGAGTTTCAGTGAATGCTTGTTTTTCGTGCTACAATAGATTGTAATGAATGTTTTAAGAAATCTTTTGTCCTGTAGTACTATTTGAGCACTGCAATAGCTGCAGAAGTATATTCAGGTTGGAATCGGTGACGTGAATTTCTTCAGCTGTCTTCCACTTTCCTTTTTGAATAGTTCTCACTAGATTTTTTTTTTTTTTTTTTCCAGTGGTCAGTTGATGACTAAGTAACTAGGGCAGATAACTTGCATTATGGATAGGGCTACTGGCCTGGTAGTAGTATGTGTTGTTTCTACCTGAGAGACTAGGTTGTGGTATATTGTGGTGTTTCTTTCTTTTTTTTCCTGACAGAAGGAGTCATAGACAACCTGAAGAGGAAATGGAAAAAAGATCAGCTTCGCTTAATGATAGCCAGGAAGTGAAAAAAGACGATCAGTCTCAAATGAAAGCAGGTTTTGCAGTTTCAGGACAGAACAGTGCTTCCAGTCATAAAAATCAGTCTGATACGAGCAGGAGGAGAGAGTTTGATGAAGAGTCTTTGGAGAGTTTTAGTAGCATGCCTGATCCAGTAGACCCAACTACTGTGACAAAGACATTTAAATCTAGAAAAGCATCAGCACAAGCAAGCTTGGCATCAAAAGATAAAACACCCAAATCGAAAAATAAGAGGAAGAGTTCTGCTCAGCTAAAAGGCAGAATGAAAAATACTGGTAGGTTGTAAAGTAACCGTAGATACCATAGCAAACTCAGCTTGGATTATAATCATTAAATTCCAGAAAATCTACTCTCCATAAATGGTACCTGTAATAATGAAAATAAATTATTGAAATATGAATTCGTTTTACATAATGTAATTACATAAGATTTTTTTAGTACTTCAGTAAATAAAAAGCGTAACTGATTAGGACATCTGATTTGAATGGATAGTGGATGCATATACACTAAGATTTGGAATTAAGCCACCAGGAGAATCTTCCTCTTCATTATGTCGTCTTGTTCAAAGTGGACGACTTGCTGAAGGATGGGCCTCAGTAAAATACTGAATGAGAGGGACAGTACTGGTATGTATAGTACTGTTGCTGTCACTAGGGACTTAGTGCTGCTGTGTGGCTTCAGCGTGCAGAGGAAAATTTTTGGCTGGGAAACATCATTTGTGTTTTGCATCTTTGAGATTGCCCTCGAACAAATTTTTAGAAGTAATAAAACATTTTGTAAGCTATTTTTGTATTTCTTCCTTTTCATTCCCTCCCATAAGGTTATGAAAGTGCAAGTGCTTCTAGTGCATGTGAACCCTGCAAGAGCAATAAAAGCAGACACTCTGAAGAGGTTGTTCATGCAAAGGTGTTCAGCAAAAGGAATCGGGAACAACTGGAAAAAATAATTAAATACAGTAGATCTACAGAAATGTCCTCAGGTATTCTTTTCTGAATGTCAGTAATTATTTTGTGAACTTCTCTGAGTAAAGGTCCTCCATACTCAGTTGCTAGCGTGTTATTTAAAAGCCATGTATTATGACAACATAACAATACTGTATTTTTAGCATGTGGATTTTTCTTTTTTAATTTCTAAGGGTGCTGTTAACATAAAAGTATGCAAAAAGTTGGGTATTGATTGCTTTTAGGTGTTTTCTGTAGATCAGATGCTTGATGAAAATAATTTAGAAATAAACTTGTTACTGTAAACCAACCAGAAACCTAGCCAGCAAAAAAACTCACCCAATTTGTTGATGTTTCTATGAAAAGTAACTGCTGAACAGATGAAAATTTGTTTAGTGTTTAAACTACATCCTGTACTGCATACATGTTTTCTTTCTATTCATGCTTAAAGGAGCTCTATCAAATATCATTCAAATTCAGTCTTGTAACATCACATAAACCCTTACATTTTTGCCGTCTGCACTGCTTTTCTTGCATCTAGATCATAAAAGTATTCTCTTCTGTGTCTTTTTAGGTTCTGCCAGTACCTTTGTTTTGTTTGATAGATGCAGATATTTTATTCATTGTAGCACGATGTACAGCTTTCTCATTGTAGCTGTGTCCCCACTAAGAGCTGTTTATTGGTATATGTAATAAACTTTTACTAATCAAGTTCTCACAATAAGCAGCTTTGATGTGGTTTGGATGACTAAACGGTCTTCCTCCTGCTGTTTTGTATAGACCCTGTCTTTATTTCTGGTGCGCATTTTTGTGTTTATCACTGTCTATCCCCACTTTCCTACAGCGCATGCTAGGAGAATTCTGCAGCAGTCTAACAGAAATGCATGCATTGAAGCGCCAGGTAATGCATTCATTGCTTAGCTTCAACAATGTCCTGTTACTTTTTTTTTTTTCCTCTTAGCTTTAGTCCTGTAACTCAGACTGTTTAGCAGATGTTCGAAATGAGTACTGTTGCAGCACCTTCTCTATAAACGAGGCGAGAGAAGTTACTTGTACTTTGCATGAAATGCAACGGTACAAACTACTTTGAATTATAATTGTGGAGAATGTGTTTATCATGTTCGTGGTTAGTCCCAATTACAAGTGGAAAATACTCAGGTAGATACTACAACGGAAAACTAATTTCAGTAAGCATTTCTATTACGTTTAAAAGCTACTATTATATTTTATTAATAGGAGGGAAGAGATCTCTAGTGGCTTATTAAAGGCTGAAAAAGCTTGCCTCTGTGCTTAAAAGTACTGGTAAACTATTTGCAGATAGTCAGATTGCACAGTAACATCTGCTGTACCGCTAATAACTTCATTAACTTAACTACTAACAAATATGCATCTGTTAAACTAAGCTGAGTTTTCCAAATTTAACTTTTTTCCATTCAACACTTGCCAAAATATATATGTAATAATTTAACTGTTGTGATGTAAGGATAATCCTTAATTTTAAAAGGAACAGGAGGCTTATTAAGGAACACGTTGTTTTCTCATACATACGTAATAGGGCTTAAGGGTAAGAGGTTTTATGTGGGAAGTGATATTTGGACATACAGGAGAACGTAGGATTTATGCCTGTATGGGAGGTGTGGGAAGGAGTGACTTTCTCGAATTCAGTCTGGAGCTTTCTTAATACAGTTGCTTGTGTTGCAAAGGTGTGGCCTACTTGTATTATATCAACTGGAGACCTTTCGTTTGAACTATCTTAAAACTCCATTTTCAGTGTTGAATACCTATTCTGGAAGCAACATTGTAAAGTGCGCAATATTTTCTTTATTAACAAATACTTTCTAAAAGTATTGTTCAGGATTGTAAAGAAAATTATTACTATGCCTTATATTTTTTTATATATATAAAGGATTGCATAAGGTATTATTTCAGAATGTTTAAATCTTTGTTGCCCTTCAGGAAATGAGTAAACTTTAAGAAAGCAGCTATACAAGGGAATCTGCAATGATTTGAGATATAATTTGTGTACCTGTAACTTGCATACCTAGCAGACAGTTTTCTTTCAACTGGATGCATGTCAAGTACTTAACAATGTCCCTTTTTTCTACAGAAACTGGTAGTGATCTTTCTATGTTCGAAGCTTTGCGAGACACAATCTATTCTGAAGTGGCAACTCTTATTTCTCAGAATGAGTCTCGTCCCCACTTTCTTATTGAACTTTTCCATGAGCTTCAGCTGCTAAATACAGATTACCTGAGGCAAAGGGCTCTATATGCTCTACAGGTATGCTCAAAATTTTTGACCTTGTGTATGAATCAAACAAATCTTAGATCCTTTTTCACAGTATAGATTTATTACCTTTTCCAGGATATAGTGACCAGACATTTATCTGAGAACAATGAAAAAGAGAAATGCGCAAAATCACTGAATTCTGCAGCATGGATGGCATCAAATTCTGAACTCACTCCCAGTGAAAGCCTTGCTTCTACAGATGATGTAAGTTTTCAAGTTCAGAAGCTAGTTTACTGTCAACTTTTCCCGTCTTTTCAATTTACATGCATGTTTGTGTACTCAAATATTCATAGTAGCGATTGAATTTTTCTAAAATTAATAGCAACTTACACAGACTTTTCGAAACAAAGAAATGCAGGAAAATCTTAATGCAAAAGTGATTAAACATGGTAGGATTTTTGGGTGGAAATGGGTGATGTGTCAGGGAGGAATAGAATATGGAGAGGGACGTAAATCAGAAACTGATAATCAAGAAGAGTCAAAATACTCCGGTGAGTAAGGTCACGGCAGGTATCAATCACAAGATTCCCAAGGAATTTCTGCTTATTTGTATTTAAGAAATCACTGATGCCTCTCCACAGTTTCTTATGGATTTTATAGTTGAAATGTCTAAAACAAGCAAGGTAGAATCACCTGATGGATTTAAACCCTGAAAGTAAGATTGTTCCCCAGTCAGGCAGCCTGGTGACAGGTCTTGATACCACAGCATGTGGCTGAGAAGATTTTAGGAAACTTTTGGCAAGAACTGTTCTACTGAAGCATGTCAGGGTTGCGATCAGAATGATGCAGACAATGGGAGTACTATGTCTACATCTTCAAATTTTGAACCCTTTGCCACTGATGACCTTGGTGAGAGTGATGTGATTTACAATGTTGTGTTATTCCCTCCCTCCTGAAATGCCTGCAATTGTCTAGTCTGAAAATCAAAGAACAGTATACTATTTAAGTGCGTAACTGCGTTTTGTAAAACAACACTTAGAAAAACTAGCCACCTGTGAAACCCTTTGAGTTGATCAAAGTGTGTAGTAAAATATTATAACTCAACTACAGTTATGTGTAGATTTCAAAACTTGTGGCTTTGAATTAATTTTTATCATTGTTTACTTGTCTATCAGTTAAACTTTAGATTAAAAGGTGTTTTTATTCTAAATATAGGCAACACAGTGATTCACTTAGATCAAGCTTTGGCTAGGATGAGGGAGTATGAGCGTATGAAAATTGAAGCTGAAAGTACCCTTGACTCTGAGGGCTGCTCTAGTAATTTTCAGGGTGCTTCTGCTGCTAAATTAGAAGGTATGCACATATATACATATTTTGCTTAGTTGTAGAAAATAATTATTCTAAATAGCAAGAATCAATTAATTGGTTGACTTGCTTTCCTCTTCATTTGTATTGAAAATTTAGCAAAATTTCAACTTAAGTAAATATGATTTATTTTTTAAAAAGGACAATGTATGTTTTTTGAAATTTGTATTTCTTTAATAAAAATGTTGAATGACTTAAATGTGCGTTTTTTTATTGAGGTCCAAGTACCAGTGAATGTCTTCCTGTGCCACTGTCAAGTGAAGTTTCTGCTGTTCCATGTCCTCGTATAGATACTCAGCAGCTTGACCGGCAGATTAAAGCAATTATGAAAGAGGTCATTCCTTTTCTAAAGGTAAGAACTTTTTTCAATAATATGTGAATTTGGAGAACAGGAAAAGGACTTGAATAATTGCATGGAAGAATATTATTTAAAATGGATAATTTGTGTGTTAGCAACAACTGCCAATAAATACGTGTTAAGTTGCAGACCTTGCTGAGGATGAAGTAACGATTAAATACTCCAGCAGAAAGATTCTGTGGATTTGTTAACAGGAGAAGGAAATGGCAAGGTTTCTAGATTGCATGAGGCTGGTGGACTTGACATCAAGAAGAACAGAGATTTCTTTGTCTGGGAAATGTTTGAGAATGTACTTCTGAAATATTTGCTGCCTTTTAGCAAAGAGAACTGAGATAATTTTAATTGAAACTGTTACATATGATGTAACTTGAGATATTTTTGAAGAATAGCTCTGTGAGTTTTAGCCCTATTTTTCCTGTTTGCAAATATCATTAAAGTTGCTGAGAGCTTGTAAACTTCTGTGAATACAGAGGAGAAATATTGACAGTTCATTCTTTGCAAGGTTAAAGAGCAGAGAAGATTGAGTTGTAAAATGCTGAAGTAAGCTCCCTGTTCCCTTTTATAATATGCTCAGTGTATGAGCTTAGGTTTGCTTGATAAGGTACTTGGTTGATTCTGGTTTTAAAAACTGTGTATATTGTTGACGTGACAGTCTCAGTGCCTGAAGACTTCTCTTTTGTTTGCAATTTTAAGGAAACTTACAACAGTAATCTTAACATAAACTTTAATACACTTGGATCCACAACCATAATATATATAGATTCTTAGTTTGTCCAGACGTTGAAAGCTGGTGTGTAGTAATGTATTGGAAAAGTGAGATTAAGCGTTGTGGGTCATGGCCAATCAGTCATTAATGACATATGGTATCCGCTGCAACGGTGTTCCACTTAGTTTGTTTTGCAAGATGGGTTAGGACCTGTTTGTGGAGTGGTGTTCCTTCAGTGGACAGGTGATATTTTTATAAATGAATTTCAGTATTTGAGTTGATGGCTGGTTGTTTTTTTTTTAAGTGGTAACTGAGCTCATTCTGTGATACTTGTTTAGGAACACATGGATGAAGTATGCTCTTCTCAATTACTGACATCAGTAAGACGTATGGTCTTGACTCTCACACAACAAAACGATGAAAGTAAAGAATTTGTGAAGTTCTTCCATAAGCAGCTTGGCAGTATACTTCAGGTGAGCAGTTTTTTGGTGCTGTTTTGCAACACTGTTGCAACTTGGATAATGAGCAAGAGGATAAACCAGCTTTTCCTGAAGTCATATTTTAGAACTTCATAGCTGCTGTTCTCCTTCAGCTTTGATACAGCAATTCCTTGTTTCCTAAAATTAAGGCTTTACCATGTACAGACCTTCTTCTCCATCGCTGCCAGATATCCATATCTGCCAGATAGTGAGAGGTGTATCTCTTGCCTGTGGCTGTCTTCAGGGAGAGCTCTGATGATGCTCTTTGAGAATGTTTTGTGTAAATTCCTGAAAATCAATAGGCTGCTTTTCTCTATCTTCTTTTTTTTTTTTCTACAAGTATAGAGTTTAAATGAGTAACTTGATAAGTTCTGTGTTATGTGACTAGAGAATCTACTTAAAATCTGTTTAAGATGCTAAACCATATTTTTTACAAAGTACGGGCTGTTATATACCTAACCAATTTTGAGTTATTACGAATATGGCAAATACTTAATCTTTGAAGTCTGAAAGCCTGTTTCAAAAACTGAATATTTATTTCTCTTCTCAGGATTCACTGGCGAAATTTGCTGGTAGAAAATTAAAAGATTGTGGGGAGGATCTTCTCGTGGAGATCTCTGAAGTGTTATTTAATGAATTAGCCTTTTTTAAACTCATGCAAGACTTGGACAACAACAGTATTTCTGTAAAGCAGAGATGTAAAAGAAAAACAGAAACCGCGGAAGTGATACAGTCTTATGCTAAAGAGGTTTGTTTTATTGTATTTTTGAAAAGTGTAATTTTTTTGAGATTCCTAAATATCTGTATTTCCTAAACTACCTTGATTACCTTAGTTCATACATTGTGTATGTGGGGTTTTTATTCACAAACTAGGGCTGTGTATTCACAGTATTGCTTGTGTAGAAGCATGAACTAATTTTCCTCAGTAAGGGAGATGTTCTGTGTTACAGAGGAGTGTCTGTTACAGATGAATAATTGTGTAGACACTGTTGTTAGTAATTCAGAGGAAATGTGTTTTAATGTTCATATATGCACATAGGAAGGAACAGTCAAGTGTTGAAATAGTATTAACATCTGAGGCCACTGAGGAGGAGTTGTGGTTTAACCCCAGCCAGCAGCCAAGCACCAGACAGCCACTCACTTACTCCCCCCCGGGTGGGATGGGGGAGAGAATTGGAAGGGTAAAAGTGAGAAAACTCAGGGGTTAAGATAAAGACAGTTTAACAGGTAAAGCAAAAGCTGTGTGCACAAGCAAAGCAAAACAAGGAGTTCACTCACTATTTCCTGCTGGCAGCGAGATGCTTAGCCATCTCCAGGAAAGCAGGGCTCCATCGTCTGCAACAGTTACTTGGGAAGACAAACACCATAACTCTGAACATTGCCCCCTTTCTTCTTTCTCCCCCAGCTGTATATTGCTGGGCATGACGTCATATGACATGGAATGTCCCTTTGGTCAGTCGGGGTCAGCTGTCCCGGCTCTGTTCCCTCCCAGCTTCTTGTGCACCCCCAGCCCGCTCGCTGGTGGGGTGGGAAACAGAAAAGGCCTTGATGCTGTGTATCACTGCTCAGCAACAACTAACATCCCTGTGTTATGAACACTGTTTTCAGCACAAATCCAAAACATAGCACCATACAAGCTGCTATGAAGAAATTTAACTCTGAGCGAAATATTTTGACGTGGGAGTCCCAGTTCATCATCTCTCCAGTTATGCCTGCAGCTTTCTTTGCAATATCTTCGCCAGGCACCGTCTTTACCTAACTTGAATAAGTCCTTTGAAATCATCAAATAGTTGGCTTGTTGGCATATGTAGGAAGTATCACTTTCTAGACTTGGAGTGTAAAATATATATATATAAACTTTTCAGAAATGTTTGAGACTGTAGTACATATCCCGCTCTAACCAAGCAAGCTGGGTTTTGCACCATTTACATTATTAAAGATGTTGCATAACCATTTTTAATTTTAGTATTGCAGTTTTTAGGAGCATAACATTTTTTAGTTATACGGACTGTTTACAAAACAAACATTAAAACAGATCATGTTCATGTACTCAAATCAGTCAGATACCTGCCTCTGTTTCTTCTTGTATAGTGTAGTTATGACTTCAGTGTCCTTTCAGCTTTCTTTTCGAAACACAAGTGCCAAAGCAAACCCTTAACTCATTCTTGTTTCAAAATACCAGCAGAACGTTATTTTGTGAATCTGTCATAAAGTCCTATAAGTAGTTTTAAGCATATCATCAGCTGCGTTTCAAGATAGTTCAACTTAGATATACCAGTAATATGGCTAGTGTGAGACAGACTGCGGAGTGCCTTGTAAAGAGGCCAGAGAAACGCTCTGAGTCCAGAAGGATTTGGACATGACTTCCTATTTTACTGAAGTTACTCACTGGGCCTTTGTTAAATAAAGGATTGCTTTATACACTGCTATGAGAACGCATGGAGCCAACTTAGATCTGGTATTTCTTCTCTCCTTGAAGACAGAGAGTTAGGGTTAAGGTTAGCAGACCCAGAGATGAGGCAGAACTGGTAGGTCCTGGTTACTCTGTACAGACCCGCATAGTTACCTCTCTGTGGTCTTCTCACAGCTTTCAGGTCTGGGATCCTGATGCAGACACATCTGATCTTGCTTGATTTTGTGGCTGTCTTAAGTCCAGTAAGCTGACGGGTTTTAGATTCCACACTGCGAAATACAGCTGTCTGTCTTCACCGGAGCTGGTGTATCTAATACTGTATTTTAGAGATTATTTGAGCACATACTGGAGAATTAGCCCATGTAAACATAATTGTTTAAATAAACAGGGCTAGCACAGTTTTTTGTAATATTTTTCAACTCTAAAACTTTGAAGACATCTGTGTAAACAACTTTCATAGTGTAGAAGTCCCTGTGCCTTACTGCCATTTTGAGATAGCGGTTCTTGGTAAGACTGGCATTTCAGCCAGGCTCTCACGAAGCCTTAGTCTGGTTCAGTATTTCAAAGTTATTTCAGTTTAGAATTGAAGACAGTTTGTGTTTCTTCTAGGCAAAAAAAGGTCTCCAGGTGGATGTTTGTTCATCTGCTGAAGATGTCGATGAGGACAAAGTATGTTTATGCTTCTCAACTGTCTTTATTCCTCAGATAATGTCACAGATCACTTAGTCTTACTGTTTTCTGTCATATAAATCCAATATCTGTAAGCAGCCCATTTTCTTGTGTTTGTAAATTTATTAAACATCATGGGTTTCATCTCCTTACTGTTATTTTCAGTGATTTACTTTGATGAAGTAACAAAGTAAATTATAATTTCCCTGTTTGAGTTGACAGTCTGGAAAATGATTACCAAAAAATCTGCCTCATGAAGAAGTCTTTGTTGTTATATACATTCAGTAAACATGACTTCAGGATATCTGTTCCTTGGTTGCTCTTGTTTTTATTCCTGTTTCTAGTGCAGAGCCATTACCAGTGTAAAGACTGTTTGATGCATTTCTTATAAAACAATATCTTGTTACCTTCCAAGAAGTGCACTCAGATCAACAGAGAGAGTGTTAAGGATGCTTTTCTGTTGATTGTTGGTGGCCTTTATGTAGAACGAGCTTTGCTTTAGGACTGACAATTTGAAAGTTTAAAAAGAGCAAAGCTGATGTTGAGTGCTGTGCAACTGAACTTCAATAATATCTGATATGTGCTGAGCAGCTTTAGGGTAGGATCTTGTTCTTCCTTTTAGTTTTTCCTTTTAGTTATGCATTTTCTGTATTTTAAACAAAAAAAGAAAAGACCTGTTCCGAAGGTGTTCACTGTAGGATTTGATCTGGGGCTGTGGCCTGTGTTGTCAGCTCAGAGCATTGAGAATGTAGTCATTCCTTGAAGAATTAATTAACAAGGACAGTAAATAGAGATGGTGTTTAACTATTTTTAGCAATTAGCATTTTCTTTGTTAATGATACAGTATAAGTTGTTTTACTTTTCGTTTTAAGAAGGCGGCAGATGTTGGGACAAATGGTACTTGAGGTCCTCAGAGTCCAAGTCTACGTGTGCTCTGGACGTTAAATGATGGGCCCCAAAATTTCTCCCTTTTCTCTTTAAGTTTGTTTTGAAAACCACTAAAAAAATCATTGTGTCTGGGGAGAGGGGCTGTATATGCAGTTTTGTAGTTTCTGCTGAAATGTTCATCTTTTTCCACCCAAGGGAAAGATATAGGTAGTGTGCTAAGTTGCATGCTTTCCTAAACAGGCAGAGCCATATGTGTAGGCATGTATGGACATAGAGTCAGGGCTTTCTTCTAGGGCTTAGAGCTTCTGTCACGCTGCTTTGGAAGTAGAAGTGGGAAGCCATATGTCACTTGTTACGGCTGCTGTAGTGTAGAAGGGTCCTCTCAAAATCTGGAACTAAATTCAGGGCTTTACTTGGGGTTTGCATAGACTGAGCAGAATTTTCTCACTCCAGGTATTTAGCAAGTCATTCAGCAGAGAAACTGCTGAGTAGCTATGGCCAAAGAAATGAGAAGCAGCAGTTAAGAATGTTCCTAGTTTTTGCTAGGGGTCATTTAGGAGAAGCAGAGAAGTCACTAGAGGGTAATAATGCAAGCGTGTCTTCCTTGTTATAATGACAAATCTAATTTAAAGAAATCTTTCTTTTTTTAAGCTAACATGCTGATCAGTTACAATGTCCTTCATGGCTATGTGTGAACGGTGGCATGATCTCTTACAGTAGATTCTGATGCTCTGTTTCAGGAGTAGCTTTGCAGTGTTTATTTCAAGGCCTTAAGGACTTCTTAAACATTAGTTTTTAGTCTGTAGATTTTTGATCTTGAGAAACAAAGATGACTTCTCGATGCAGAAACCATAACTTAATCTTTAGATAAAAAAACATGAAATTGCACCCTATGCCTTGTTTTCCTAGGACAAGGATGAGACAGAAACTGTTAAACCAGTACAGGACTCAAAAATGTATGATGATAATGGAGTTCCTGAAAGTGTTAGGTCTGATGTGTCTGATCAAGAGGAAGATGAGGAAAGTGAAAGTGGTCCAGTGGCAATAAGTAAGTGGGTTTTATAGTTCATTACTCTATGCTTTCCCTGTAGTTTTGACCAGCTAATTTTACCACAGGATTTGTGTGAAGTACTGCTGTGTAACACCTTTCCTCACAGATTTTTTGGTTGGGTCTTTTGCAGGGAAAGTTTTCCAGTGCTCTGTTTACTAGTATTGTGTCAAGGGTTAAACATGCCAATTAGAGGAGCTTTTCGTTTGTAATCACTAGATCTGTAGAAACACATGTTGGAATCGGATTCCTTGTTGAAGTTACATATCCTGTCTCAGCTAAACTTAAAGTTTGTCAACCTTTAATCTGAAGGATATGAAAGCTGCTGAAAATTTTTGCAGTTTTGCATTTAAATAATGGTTTTGAATTGCTTTTCTTTAAGCTTGTATATTTTTAATTTTTTTTTTGTCCTGTTATACTCATGACTTAGTTTCCCTTATATTTGCATTCTTCACACCAACTTGTTTGATAACTTAGATATTTCACACCAACCCATTGGTGTTTATCAGTAATATAGCTCATGTGGAGCATATGGATCTTTGAAAGTCAGTCATCACTGTATCTTAATTCCAAAGAATGTTTTGAAGTATGAGTTATAACTGATCATTGCAGTAAACTCCCAAAAGGGATTTGGATTTTGCAGCCTGACTTTTACTCTGTCAGGCTCTGTCAATATGTAAATCCAATATGAAGGTGGTGTTACGTTGATTTGCTTTCAGGTTTATCAAAAGCAGAAACCCAAGCACTGACTAACTATGGCAGTGGAGAAGATGAGAATGAAGATGAAGAAATAGAATTTGAGGAAGGACCTGTTGATGTGCAGACATCACTACAAGCCAGCAGTGAAACAACAACTGAAAGTGAACAGGTATCACCAAAACTCTGAATACAGGACAAACCTAAGCCGGTGCATAGCTTTTCAGACACCTATCTGTATATGCATTTCAGTTTTTCTTGTTGCACTGTTTTCATACTAATGGAAGTAGAAGAGTGATCCAAGAAATTATGTGAAGGTAATAGCTGCTACATACAAAATATCTACTGCTCATTCCCTGCCTGAATTTATTATTGATATGGCTGATGCCAAAATGGACGGATGGACACACACAACACTGATGTTTAAATTTGCTGTCAGAGAGAGAAAATGTTAACCTGCAGTAGAAAAGAAACTTTAAAAAAGCATCAAGTTTTAAACCGTTACCTGGTTCTTCCTCTGTATTTGCTGACATCAAGTTCTAAATGGGCTTTCCTTGGCAGAAACCATTGACTCTTGTATTCTAGCATGTCTTTGATTTGTCTTTCCTCTTCATCACGTAATACATTTTTCTAGAATAACAGTGAAATGTTATTGGCTTCTGTTGTCATTTCACTGTTCGTTTCCTTTGAAACATTGGGATGCATGTGACCTGGTTCTGGAGACATGTCAGTCCTTCACATTTCAGTAAATAAGATTGACTTCTGAGTCTTTTGAAACTTTGGTTTACTCAACAGCTGCTATCTTTACTTCAAACTAGTTAAAAGACAAAAATGTGGAGGAAGCGTACAGTGTGTTTCTAGTTAGCAAGGAAGAGTAAATTAGCCAATAAGCTATGAAGCTGATTTGTCAAATTTGTTCTAACTTGTTTTCAGATTCCCCAACAGACTTCAAACCAAGAATTGAATAAGACAAAAAGCAGTGAGATTTTGTCATCAGAACAACAATTTGTTAATGTTAAAGGTAAGCCCAGTATGCAGTAACAGCGAGATTAATGCTTCTATATGAATTTGCATATTGTGAGAATTATCTTGGACAATGCCTGTGATATATGTAATTGAGAGGAAGAATATCAATTTGGCAAGAGTTTACTGTGCTGTTATTTTTCATGGAACCATATGAGTTGACTAGATATATGTGTTGAAATAGATACAGAAAACCTTTTAAAGAGGAAATGAAGATTAAGAATGAAAAAATCATTTTCTGTCAAAAGATAGAAACGCTGCTGGGTGGTATGAATGTTACTTACAGTCTAACTGTTGTTACCACCTTCTTTTCCTGTGTTTTTTCATAGACTGAAAGTGGTATTTGAGTAGCTCCTGTGTTGCCACAGGAATGTGGCAAAATATTAAGGAATTTATTGTTCTGTATGATATCTTCTTATACCCAGAATGAATATTTTACAGTAGGTCATAGAGCCCTGAAAGTTGGGTTTTGGCTGGTTTGTTTTGTGTGGGTGTTTTTATCATTAAAATCTGTGTCAAGTCAGAAATTTTTAAGACAGATACCGTCTTGTGATAATTGCCGATACTTCAGTGTATGAGAGTACAAGTAACTGATGTTTTATTTTAGTTGGACTAATTCACTTTAATTTGTTCACTTGTAGCTTTGAATAATAATTTGTAAAAAAAAAAAAAAATCTGGGATTTTTCTGTGCTCAGAATCTTTTACTATCCTCTGCCTAGTTAAAATGTAGTTTTGTGGTTTCAGGTGAAGAAGATACAGCTACAATTTTGCCTCATTACCTCAACGTCATGGAGAATACACCACCTTTAACAGTCAATACCCCAGAATCCTTTGTAACAGCCAGTGTGACAACGGAGGAATCAAGCTCATCTCTTCCAGTAAATGAAACTCAAACACTAGATACAACGTGTGTTGGAAACAAATCTGCTGCAAGTTCTGAAAGCTCCATGGCTGGCAGCCCTGATACAGAGTCACCTGTGTTAGTGAATGAATATGTGCGTATATTTCAGTTAAAATACATACTCCATGAGAAAACAGAAGATTTTTTTTCTGTTTCAGTGTTACTTTGAGTTTCCAGTCTTCTTCAGTTTTCGTATGCGAATTTGATATGGGCACGGTTTTTTGATGTACTTCATTATAGTCAAAAATCTAGTTTTGGAGTGAAAATATAGCAAAGTAGGACTATTCTCTTAAATGTCACTATTTTTATTAACAGGAAGCTGGTTCTGGAAATGTAAGTCAAAAATCTGATGAAGATGACTTTGTGAAAGTTGAGGACTTGCCCCTTAAACTTGCAGTGTATTCAGAGGTATTTTGCTATTGTTTGTGGGGTGGTTGTTTGGAAGTGCACACCCTAACTGTCTTAATTATCTAGACAGCAATAAGAATTATCGAGAATTTTGAGTCTTGCTTTATCTGTTAAAGGCAGATTTAATGAAGAAAATGGCAACAGAGGCCCAAACCAACAGTTTGTCTGATGAACTGCTGGATGGAGGTGGAAATCGAGATCAAGATTTAGTAGGAGATGCCCAAATGCTGAAAGAACCTGGTAAAGATTATTTTCCAAATCCTCTACACTTACTGGGAAAACACTCTGGAATGGCTAGGATTTAAATATGTTGTTATCAGTGATTGAAGTAAGCATTTATCATCATGCTGAAAGAATATCCTTTCTTGTTATTGTGTGTTTAAAAATTATGTATTGATATGAAGGGATTTTGCCTTCCATGTCCCTTCTGTATACTTCTGTTAGATTCTGTGGCTAATAGAGTTATAAAAATTAACATATTTAAAATGCATGGTTTTTGCTTCTTGTTACACAAGCTTGGGTTTAATAATATTGTAAATTCTAATTGCTATTATTTGATTTAATAATGCTCAATATAATTTGCTGATGGACTCCTCACTATTTTTGTAATGGAAGAGTTCAAGGACTTTTCAGAATAGTAAAATATCTCTTCAGGGAAAAATTGTTTTTTATATGAAGCATACCATGAGGTAGAAAAAACTTTCAGTGTGTATGACGGCAACAAAGATTTGTCGCTTTCATGAAACTGTATTTATGCAGCTACAAAAACTTAATGGTAATGCAGGTCAAAGAAACTTTTCTTTTTTAATATAATGTTGACATTGTGACACAAGTTGTGGTATTAGAGGCTTCTGTTCTGTTGTTAGGCTTGTAGTTCTCCACTGTAGTACTGGCATGTAGAAATGCATGAATTGGATTCTGACGGTGGCAGTTTTCTGCTAGCATAGCAGAAATTCTTCAAACAGTACCAGCTGATGAAAATGCTTTTTTTTTTTTCTTAATGGAGCTGCAGTGACAGCATAGAGGTTTTCCAGAACAGAGTGTGAAGGAAGATGCGTCTTCCATTTCGTTCACTGCCCATCACCACCCCTCTGCTTACCATCACTGTGCCAGCAGGAGTCTGTCGTGGCAGTGTGGTGAACGCAGAGGCGTATGCCTGGGGTGGGGACGGTCTGGCGAAGAGTGCCGCCCCACGCACATTGTCTGTTGTTAGACAATAATGAGTGTACTCTTATTTTACAGAAACTTTTGGAGCTCAAAGTGCATGAGAATAAGCTGAAGATATCTGCATTTATAAACTCCACATATACAAATGCATATGGAAGATCAGCACTAGTTTCCCAGAATTCTGGAAGTGTATAAACATGTAAAATTTTTGACACGCTGCCTCATAGGACAGGTATGCTAACTTCTGCCTGTGGCAGTCTCAACAGCTGGAACTGAATCCTCTTCTATTCAGTTTTGCTGCACTGTTCTTTTTCTGTCTTGATCTTTTTTTATTTTTTATTGTGACTTGTTTGGTAATTTTAAAATTGTTCAAAATGGTAGTTTTAAATAAAGTTTGGATTTGTCTGTACATTTGTCTTTTGAAGAACTTTCCTCTGGCTTAGAGTGGTATGCAGAGTTTGTTGTTGGATGTTAACTGACTTTAAGCCTTGACATGCTTGTAGCTCTTTGTTACTCCTCATCAGAGAAACACTGCTAATTTTCCTGGGACAAGAGACTCTTGTCCCGCCGGGTTTCTCCCACTTCTACAAATATGAGGTGTAGACACAGTACATGCCTACATGTTGCCTTTATAGACTAAGTATAGCTGGTCTGTTAAAAAAGAAAAGTAGTTCCTGTTCATGGCCTTGTGGAAGTCATTTCTATCAGCACATTTATCTGAGGTGAAGTAATTACCCTTGGTTTGTCATTAACTGCAGAAACAGTCTGTATTTTTCTGCATTTTCTGTTTGGCACTTTCAGTATGCACAGGGATAAACCTGTCTGAAAACTTTAGTGTCCTTTCACATGTAATACTTATAATTGCTGCAATTGCAAGCCTATAGAATTTGTTCCTAAAGTGTTTGACTTTGTAAAGGGTTTTCATGTAGAAAAGAGGGAATTTAGGAAAGTACAATTAAAGTTAATGTTTAAAAAACCAGTTAGCACCCAATGATGTCTCACGGAAAAGGCGGAATTAGGATTGTAGAAAAGTAGATAAGAAAACTTGAACCAACAAAAATTTTCTTTGCTTTTTCAGATCAGAGTTGCTAAAAGCAGTAAGTCATAACATTGAGCTAGAAATAGCTTATTCAGCATATCTGCTGCACTATAGAGGTCCTGCTTACCTGAAACAAACACAAGGTTTTTCTCAAAGTAGTTGAAAAGCAATGGTTATCTTTGATTCAGGCTTGTCTTCGTTTTGAGGTTAGCGTAATAATATGGCTATATGCTGCGGGAGACAGTCTAGTGGCAGTGAAGCCTAAATGTGCCTGAAGTTTGAATAAAATGAGTGTGTGATTCTTCTGTGATTTCTTTTTTTAGTTTGTTTGTTTCAAATGTCTCCAGGTTTTATGAGTGGACTTTGAAATGCCAGATTACAATTGCTTGCCTCTCATCTCTAAAGCTGAAAGCGTATCGAAAGGTTTGAAAACAGCATAGTTCCTGTGCAGGCTTTAAACTCACGGTGATACTCTATGCAGAAAAAAACTTCACAGTACTGAGAACAGAGGAAATGTATTGCAACAAAGGCAAAGCTGTGAAAGTGAAACAAAATTTAAAGTTTTTAATTGCTAACTTAGCACAAGAATTATTCAGTAGACCTAAAAGAGGACATTTGCATAAATTAGAACAAGAAGATTTGTGTATACTTGAGACAGATCTAGTTTATATGGTAAATCATTAAACTCTAACCTCAACAAATAGCATTAGCACACACCATACCTGAATTCTTGCCCTGGACTAGCATGTATGAACAGTGCACTGAAGGGGTTTTTCTTCGGTCATACTTTCACAGAATCATAGAATGCTTTGGGTTGGAAGGGACCTTCAGAGGTCATCTAGCCCAACCCCCCTGCAGTGAGCAGGGACATCTTCAACCAGACCAGATTGCTCAGAGCCCCGTCCAACCTGGCCTTGAATATTTCCAGGGATGGGGCAGCCATGGCTTCTCTGGGCAACCTGTACCAGGGCCTTACTGCTTTCAGAGTAAAGAATTTCTGCCTTTTATAGACTAAATCTGCCCCCTTTAAACACTGAAAGGCTGCAAACAGGTCTCCCTGCAGCCTTCTCTTCTCCAGGCTGAACAGCCCCAACTCTCTCAGCCTTTCCTCACAGAAGATGTGCTCCAGCCCTCTGATCATTGCTGTGGCCTGCTCTGGCCCCGCTCCAATAGCTCCATGTCCTTCTTAGGGAACTACAGGCCAGTCAGCCTCACCTCCATCCTGGGAAAGGTGATGCAGCAGCTTATCCTGGAGGCCATC